TCAACACCCATCCCACATCCCTTCTTACAGCCTTCCCCCAGGCCCACCTAGACACGACACTTTCCCCTTTTGAGGATTTAAATCCAGGTGTTCAATTTGCCATTTGTCTGCGGCAATCCCTCTCTTCTAATTTGGTCAAATTTAGATTAACATAAAACCTTAAAAAATATATATATTATGGTTCATTTAGTTAAAACCATCTCTGACCCATCCCACATCCCTTCTTACAGCCTTCCCCCAGGCCCACCTAGACACGACACTTTCCCCTTTTGAGGATTTAAATCCAGGTGTTCAATTTGCCATTTGTCTGCGGCAATCCCTCTCTTCTAATTTGGTCAAATTTAGATTAACATAAAACCTTAAAAAATATATATATTATGGTTCATTTAGTTAAAACCATCTCTGAGCCTTTATTTCCAGTGGGAAATTAATCTTCATCCTTCTCTTTCACGAGGCTCAAGAGCATAACAGAGCAGTCGAAAATAGCAGCTCCCAAGGAAGAACATTTCCATGTATTAAACGGAAAAAGACAGCTGTATTTTCAAACCCCATTTTGACAATTCCACTGGCACATGTTTCTTTAGTAACTTTTTTTTTCCCCCTAAACCTCTCCGAGGTGATATTAGTCACATTCCCTCACACTCCACGGCTTGGGACATTTTCCTCTGCGGAGAGGTCCGACCTCGGGCCGTTGGGCTTTAAGGCTCCATTAAATGCGATGTTGCCACGGCTGGTAATCTCAATTTTGACCTATTCGCATCCAGCTGGAGCCCTGGTGTAAAAGCACGTTTCCTTCCACGATGCTTCACCGGTTTTATTCAAAGAAATTTCATTTCCACCAGAAACCGTCCTCAACAGCCACCAGAAAGGCCGAAGGCACGGAGGAAGCCTTCAGGGAGGGCAGCGATGGCCTGCAAGGACGTAACTCAAAAAATCTTCCGGGGCTGGAGCGCCAAGGCCCCGCTATTGTAAACAACCCTGTAACAAACACCTAGGGGAGAAAAACCGGGCTCTGCCGCCCC